AGAGCTCGTATATACCCCATAATCCTCCATGCATTTTTGCTGAACTGGACTGTCAAGGCCATGTGTTGGCCACCTGAACCTGAACATGAACCCCTTGAATTTCACCTCCTCCCGTATTTAGGTCTTCAGTTCTCCCTTTTCGGAGTTTTTTTTTAGTATTTTTTTTCGAAGCTACTACTACACCTGTGCTCATGGACTAAGGGTGTGTTTATTTCGCGAAAAAAAAAAAATTTAGGTGTCACATCAGATATTTGATTGCATGTCGGAAGGGGTTTTCGGGCACGAATAAAAAAGCTAATTTCATAACTCGCCTGGAAACCACGAGACGAATCTTTTGAGCTCAATTAAGCCGTCATTAGCACATGTGAGTTACTGTATCACTTATGGGTAATCATGGATTAATTATGCTCAAAATATTTATCTCACGATTTTCATACAAACTGTGTAATTAGTTTTTGTTTTTATATATATTTAATGCTCCATGCATGTGTCAAAGATTCGATGTGACGTTTTTAGGAAAAGAATTTTGGGAAGTAAACCAGGCCTAAAGAATCTGGTCTTCCACTGGAGCGGTGGGTCCCGCAACTCACTGGGGAGGCCCGGCCCCACCATTAGAAGGACAAGGAAACAAAAAGTAGAAGAAACAGATAAAGAAGCAGCTACCGTTCAAAAGCCTTTTCCCCGCATCTCTCTACTTTTAACGAAGCAGATATGATTTTGTTTCTTCGTGCTGTACGGGAACCAATCGGCGGAATAAATTTATTTACAGCGTTCGACTACGAGGATGATTTTTTTTTTCGAAGGGTGTGTACCTATTAATACGAGTATCGGTATTCCCCATAGCTTGGGTGCTTTCCCTTTACCAATTACCATGACTAGTTGGGCAATATACTATGCATACTCCCTCCGATTTCATTGTAATTAACATTTTGGACAATGGTACGCTCTACAAGATATACCTTTGACCTTATTTTCTATTATAATATATATAATAAATAAATACATGTTTAATTTTATTATAGTGTTTTTAAAGACAAATCTATATATGTCTTTAAACTAAATATTTTTAAAGTTATTGATGGTCAAAGTTATAAAAGTTTAATCTTAACCTTGTCCAAAACATTAATTATTATATAACCAGAGGGAGTACGAGGAGTATGAGATATTTTCTTTGCGATGCTCGTATTTCCTTCAGTGCGGCTTAGAATATGCTGCGCATATGCTCAGCTAGCTAGCCTACAATTCCCATATCCCCGAAAATAAGGGAAGGGCATGCTAGGAGGACTCTTACTGTTCTCAAAAAAGAAAAATATTTTTTTTCAAAAAAAAGGGCTCTTACTTTTCTTTTTTTAAAAAAAAAATCTAGGAGGACTCTACCTTCAGCTTCATATCTTATAGAGTTTATACTTACATATACCTTTATAATATTAAGAGCATTTCACTAATTTCAAAAGGTTCTTGATATGATCTTAGAGCGTTGCCGATTAAGCTCTAATGATTTTCATAATTGAAAAAAAATAACATGCTAGAATGCAGCTTCAATGGTAATATAGCTCTCGTACATGACACATATGGACGGTGGTTATGAGCGGTAGCCCGTGGCAACGAATTCGGTACACTAGTGTATTTCCTCTATTTCAAATTAATTAATTATCGTTCTGGCATATATTACATTAAACTAGAAGATATGATCACTGGTGGAGAAAGAGTTTTTACTCCCGGTTTTAACCCCCTTAGTCCCGGTTTTTCAACCGGGACTACGAATCCGGGACTAAAGACTCTATCTTTAGTCCCGGGTGAAAAAACCGGGAGTAAAAATACAGGTCTAAATATCAGTCCCGGTTGGTAACAACAACCGGGACTAAAGAGGCTAGCTCCTGTTGCTACTTTATTATATTCTTTTCTTCATTGTTTTTAATATATTGATTCACTCTATCCTATCCCAAAATCCCAAATCAATCATCCCCGAATAGTCTCCAAATTCTCAAATCAATATCTCTAAATACATCACAAAATCTTAAAAAATTACATTACAACTTCTACAAAATTCATCACAAATACATCACATATTCACATCACACACAAATCAAATACATCACATATTCACATCACACACAAATCATCTCAGATCCGAATCACAGATTCTCAACCAAAAAAAAAAGAAAGAAGACGAACGGCCCACTGCCGCGGCGGCCGCCGGAGCGCCGCCCGCCGCGTCCCCAGCTCCGCCGCGAGGCCGCCAGCCGCCAGCGCGCCGCCACGCCGTCTCGCCCAGCCCTCCGTGCGCCGCGCCGCCGCGCACCGCCCGGCGCGTCCTCGGCCGCCGCCGCGAGGCCGCCAGCCGCCAGTACGCCGCCGCGTCGCTTCGCCCGCCCTCCGCTCGCCGCGCCGCCGCGCCGGCCGGCCGGCCCTCCGCGCCCCACGCCGCCAAGCGGGCCGGCCGGCACTCCGCGCCCCACCGTTGCAGAGGGAGGTGGGGAGGTGGGAAGGAGGGAGGAGGGAGAGGAAGAGATAAGGGTGTAACTGTGTGAGGAGATGAGTTAAAAAGGAGAGGAGGAGTTGTATCGATCCGATGCGCGTGCAACCATCCCACTTATGTCAACTTTTTTCCCAGTTGGTGTTACCAACCGGGACTAAAAATATATCTTTAGTCCCGGTTGGTAACATCAACTGGAAGTAAAGCTTATATCGATCTTTTTTCTCGGTTGGTGTTACCAACCAGGACTATAAATGGATCTTTTAGTCCCGGTTGGTGTTACCAACCACTACTAAAGATCAAAAAATTTCTCTGAGCATTCAAACCGGGACTAAAACATATTTAGTCTCGGTTTTCAATATAACCGGGACTATTTGTGAAATCTAGTGGACCAACCAAAGATGGTTTCTCCACCAGTGGATAGGAGTAAAATACAATTGCTATCCTCATTAAATTTAGTGTAGAAGGGTAGAAAGGGAAAGACATCTAAAGTGCTTTGGATGTGATAAAGATAAGTATTTTAACATAAATTTTAAATGCTAAAACGGTAAATAGTTTGAAGCAGATGGAGTACATTTTTTCGGTTGCTCTAATCAGTAACGCTTCATACCAAAATCTTGCAAAAATAAATTATACTATCACACTGTTAAACCACGCATCCGTAACAAGAACTTGTACTGCAAAATGGAGTACTGTGTACCTAGACAGTACGGTAGGATCTAGTTATCTACACTAAATTTTACTAGAAGAGAAAAGTGTACTAGTGATAGTAATTTAATGGTGAACATTAGGACCACATTTAGTCTAACCAATTGCCCATTACCAGTTGACCAACCTCCATGCTTAATAATGTGACTATATGTTTGTTGGGAAATCAACATTTCTAATTTTTAGTAATAATTAAACTAATAATATAGATACGTATTATCATGGATGTTATATCGTTACAGTCGTATTAATTTGAAAATAGTTTTATATGATGTTAGCTTCATAATTATTCATAATATAACCACAAACAAATTAATAACTATTAAAGTATAGTAGTGTTGATGAGCATGTAATTAAGAAAGAACTCCGTATACTATGCTTTATATTTTGGGGCATAAAAAAAAACTCCCTCCGTATTTTAATGTATGACGCCGTTGACTTTTTAATCAACGTTTGATCCATCGTTTTATTCAAATCTTTTGTGCAAATATGAAAATATTTATGTCATGCTTAAAAAACATTTGATGATGAATCAAGTCACAATAAAATAAATTATAATTATATAAATTTTTTAAATAAGACGAATGATCAAACGTTAGATAAAAAATCAACGGCGTCATACATTAAAATAATATGGAGGTAGTATTCAGCAGACGAACACCACAGGAAGGTAAGAACCAAACCCCACTGACCTAATCCTTCGATTGTGTTGAAGTTTGTGTAAACAATTAATCGCTTTGCACAAGATGCAGTAGATTAATTAGTGATATTGAACTATAGTACGATTAGGTTAATCATCAATGATAGGATAAGACAAGATCTACTCGATTTCTTGTCAAAAGAAACAATAAGCATAGTACATGTGAGTGGCCGATCAAATTAAGTACTAAGTAGTCGTACTAGTACTACTACTCCCTCCGTTTTGAAATGTTTGACGCCGTTAACTTTTTATCATATGTTTGACCGTTCGTTTTATTCAAAAAATTTAAGTAATTATTAATTATTTTCCTATCATTTGATTCATTGTTAAATATATTTTTATGTAGGCATATAATTTTACATATCTCTCAAAAGTTTTTGAATAAGATGAACGGTTAAACATGTGCTAAAAAGTCAACAGTGTCAAATATTTCGAAACGGAGGGAGGGAGTAATTAGCAGTAGTACTAACTAACATCACCGCGAAAAAATAATTAGTACTGTCTTGGGAGAGAATGATCAAGCTGCTATGCTGCTTTGTTTTGTTTTTTTCTCTGTGTCTCTTTAGACAGCATTTTTTTTCAGTGTCTTTAATTCCTTGCCAATCATTGTCCGGCCAGAATCTCATATAGGAGTAAGTAGCTGCGGTGGTAAAAGCATTCAAAAAATAAATAAATTCTGACGTGAAAGTTTTTCTTATACTACTTCTTCAGGTGTGAGGTGATGTTATGCAGATTAATTTATTTGTATCGTAAATATCTAGATGACGAATATCGTTCTTCAAACTTTTTAATATAATAGTCTCTTCGGTCGCAGATATACGTTACTACTTCCTCCGTTTCATAATGTAAGTCATTTTAACATTTTCTACGTTTATATTAATGTTAATGTAATACCCAGTGTTCTAGATTATGGTTGGGTGAATTCGAGGGTGAATTAGATTGAAGGGGGAAGAATGTAATACCCCAAATTTACAATTTGTATATTTCGGGGAATATTAGAACAAACATGCAAAATTTTAACTTTTAAAACCGTTATTCGAATAGGCGATCAGGAACCGTGGATGCGTAGAGCTCGCCGAGTAGTGTAAAATAAAGTTTATAGTAATCGAGGTCTGAACGAAGTCCCAGTGACCAAATTAATGTGGGCCATTCGATCTTCATTAGTCTTTCTCTATTTAACGAACAGAAGAAAAAAGAAAAAGAAAAAAAAAAGAAGCTAACCCTAGCCGCCACCGTCCCTGCGTGCGTGCGTGTCGCCGCTGCTGCTCCCTGTTGCCGGCGCCGCTTCTACGCCGCCGCTGCCACAGCCGTGGTTGGACCCCGCAGCCATTGTCATCCGCAGCCACCAGTGGTCCCTTTTCCGTTTTTCTCCTTCCCGGTGAGCTTGTTGCTGCTGTCGACCCAACCTTGCCTGCTGCCTGTCGACCTGTTGTTTTGGTTGGCTGCTGCTGCTACTGATGATTTCTTGCTGGCTGCTGCTGCGTGGTCAGAGGAGAAGGGTGCAGGAGAACAGGAGAACAGGAGGAAGAAGGGGGAGAGAAAGGCCAAGCAATTTTGGGGATTTCAGTGACTTCGTAACTAGTGCGTTTGTTCTCAAATTCTAGTATCTTCGCTGCAACGGTACTTTTGTTTACTCCCTAGAAGTATAATATTTAAATAGAAATTTATTAGATAGCCGTTTGTGCAATTTTTGAGGTTATTGATTATAGGCTGAAACCGTATTTTCAAATCTGGTATTAAACCGTTAGGATTCAGGTTATTTGTCCTAAATAAAGTTTGTAGCCATCGTTGATATCTTTCTAATAGCGCTGGTTTCGCTCGATTCCGATAAACGGTTTGGGAGAAACAACAAAAAAATAGTACTGCTGACCGGGTCCGAAAATCATGATAGCAATTCGTTTTCCTTAATCTGGGATTTCATAGGCATAATCTGATTTTGTGCTCAACATGAAAGTGGTAGAAAATTTTGTCTGGATGTCCGAAGTTGTATTATTTGCTAGGTTCCGTTAGACGGTTTGTGAGTTACATATAAAACAAAACAGTAATGGAATAGCTATAGGTTATTTAACACAAATCGGTAAAAATTTGTATGAACTGGGTTTCGATTTTAGTAAATATCCTTGTAACTATCATTAGTTGGATATAGTAGTTTATACGTAGTTTTGGCTCCACGGGTGTGGAGGGTTCCAACGTTGGAGGAGTTGAGTCGGATTATCGAAGGAGTTAAGGCAAGTACAAGACGGACTTGTGTGATGGATAAACTATGTTATTTTGTTTGGTTTCATTTACCCAATTATTATTCGAAGCTTCCTATTATCAATTGTGTGGTGTTGGTATTATGCTACGTATTCATATTTCACTTCATGTTCAAGTTCACGACGTTATTCATGTTTCATTCTTCCGGAAGTTTTTGTTTACATTATTCAAGTACCATGCGTAGTCATGGGAGTGCAATTTGGATCTTTATTCATGATCCTTGAGAAGCGCTGATTACGTTTGCTCGGCTTACCGGTAATGCTAAGAGGATATTCACACCTGCCCGGGAGGGAACTACTACTTTTGCCTCCTTCGTTTTAAATTAAAGGAAGTCAAATGTTTCATATTGGTTTTCTTATTGCATAAACCTGTGTATGTTTTACTAGTTCAATATTGTACTTGCTGAGTATTCTTTACTCACTCTTGTGTTTAATTTGGTTTTTAGGTACCTAATGACATTGATTGGCATGGGACGGGAGTAGCACCCTGGACTACACATTATTATTGCACATTATTGGAATTTAGTTTTAGACTATGATTCTGCTTAGCAAAGTTTTGCATAGAACTTGTAGAGGTTATTTAAAGTTCTGGTCCTTATTTTCGCGTGGAACTTATGGAGCTAGGATGGTTTGGATTGTGTGGTTTATATCGTTATTGTGTTATCTTATAATTGCCTGTCGTGGATGTCCGTATTTTTTAGGGGAGACTTTGCCGAAATTTGTAATAATTTTGGGAGTTAGTGGTTTTGAGTGTAGTTTTGGTGTGCCACTCTAGGTACATGGTTACCTGGGGTGTTACAGTTAATGAATCTAGATCTACTCCATCCGTTTCATAATGTAAGTCATTCTAGCATTTTTCACGTTCATATTGATGTTAATGAATCTAGATAATTGTGAAACGGAGGAAGTATGATATTGATGTGTGCTGCATACACTACCCCCCCCCCCCAAACCCCAATTCGCAGCTGATTTTATCTGTCTGATGTGGATATTAAAAATATTTATTTAAATTAAACATATTATAACAACATGGTTTTAACGGAGTATATCACTTATGATCACTTTAGGGACCAGGATCTCCTAATTTTAAAGTTACGTGATTTTGTCGCTAACATACGAGTCCAAAAAAACCTAAATCTGCATGTTAATAATAAAATCACAGTGACTTTAAGGTTAGAAGAACCTGATCTCTGGTCTACAAAGTAAAGGGTGAGGGTATGTTGGTGATGACATCTTTGTCGCCATTTAGCATGGTATCATCATAAAAAATTTAGCTAGAGGCGAGAAATGATAAAAGAAAAACATGTTATCTCTTATGTTGGAGACAGTACCACGTAAAACATAAGAAGGTTATTTTTTCTCTCCACCAATATTTCTCTACAATTATTAAAAATTGAAAATGTTTTTGCTGGTTTTTTGGTACGCCGTCCGTATTTTAGTCGGTTTTTAAGCTTGTTTGCTTTTAGAAATACATATCCATATTTGAGTCGGTTTCTAAGATCGTTTAAGATCGTTCACTTTTGGTAATACAGAAGGAATCATATAAGAAATATATTTAAAAAAACTCGCATGCTAACTTGAGACAATCGGACTCCTAACTGTAGGTCATGATTTTCTAAAAATATATATATTTAAGCAAACTCCCACAGTGAATTTTATCTTAAAATAGACTTCACCCGTTGCAATGCACGGGCATTTTTTCTGGTTAAGAACAAACCGATACTTAGCTATTTGCAAAAAATGAGTCCTTAATTTGGCAATGAGTAAAATATTACCATGTCAATACATGTAGCATGACAGGGGCCTACAATGTACTCTCTCCATCTCTCCATCCGAAAGTGTAAGATATATTTCTTTTATTATCAAGACTAAGGAAAAAATAATCTCACATGTAAATAAACACCAAGAAATTGTATCATGCATGAGACCATCGAGTATTACAACAACTTCTCAGGTTCCATCAACAATTTAATCTAACACTAAAACAAAAAGATAATATATTTATTTAAGTCTTGGATGCATGAAAACTATAAATATGATTATTTTTTTAAAAAAAATAAAATATGCTTGAGATAGAATGAATATAAAAGAAATCAACACTTACATAGATTCCAATTCCATGTACCACACTCTTCCATGCCTACTGGGAGGATGATATGGCAGAGCCTTCTACATCCTTAACCCTCTATTCTTCCATGCCACCTTCCAATCCTTAGAGCATCCCTAGTAGCTCATCTAAATTTCATCCTCCATACTCCCATTTAGATAGTCATCTAAAAAGATTCATACTCCATATTACTTTTCATTTCAACAGATCATCTATATTACATCCTCCATATACCAACATCCTATATTTTACTAATATTTTACAACTACCACATATTTATACTCACCCTTCACAACTCTAAAAAATAATCTCCCCACCTTTCTCTCTCTTCTACCGCCGAGAGGATGGGGAGGACGAGAGCTGACCGGCAGGGTGGCACAGTCGGAGGAGCAGCCGGGCGGAGGGGCGGCGCAGTCGGAGGAGTGGCATGGGCGGCGGTGCGGGCGGCGCAAAGGGCGGAGGAGCGGCGCAAGAGGCGGGCGCAAGTGGCCGACGGCGGGAGTGGCCGGCGAAGGTGGCCACCGGCGCATCCTCTCTCCTCTCTCTACCTTCACCCTCCATGGCTCGATCCGGATGGAGGTGGCTGGCGGGTGCGGAAGTGGAAGCGGTGGCGGCGGGCGGGCGCGGAGGAGGTAGGCAGTGGCCGGCGGACATGGATGCAAGCGGTGACACTGTCCTTCCGATATGCCTCTCTTTCTCCACCCTCCTCCTGGCAAGTCCATCTCCCTCCTCCTCCCGCCGATGGCCCACCGCCACCACCACCCAGTCTCTGAGAGGAGTCGATTCGGATGGGGCAAGGCCGGGACGGGGCATTGATCTGGATGAGGGCGGTAATTTGGTTTGGGTGCTGGCAGTTGCGGGATGGCATGAGGAGAGAGGAACGCCAAATTTGGCACTTTTCTCTGCCAAATAGAGGATGCATTAAATTTGTATGGTGGGATGGAGTATCTGCTGGAGGACGTTTTTCTTCTCCTAACCGCTATTTTCTCGATGGATGTTTGGATGGCATATCTGTTGAGGATGCTCTTACTCTGCTCCATCTCTTCTATCTTCAGCCGGCTCTGTTTTGAGAACCTTTGGAAGTTATAGCTATTTCAAAAATCTCTAGCTTTATGAAACAATCTATGTTCTTATTTCAAAATGTAATAGGTTTAGTGAATTTTTTTAGGGGTGAATAACTAATACGGTCCCTGATATTTCATTTCGGGCTCAGTTTAGTCCTTGAGATTTCAAATCGTCCAAACAAATCCCCCAAATTAATTATTTGGATAAATATAGTCCTTTGACCCACAAAAAATGCCACGTGAGCACGCTAAGTCATCCTCGCATACAGCAGAATGAATGAAATGACCATTTTACCCTTATATACCATATAGAAAAGAAAGAAAAGATACAAACAGAAAAAGTAACATGCCAGCCCAGGCCCAGCATTGTTGCAGATGGGTGGCCGACAAATGAATTTACATGATCAGTCCTAAGTGACAGTTCCAAAACGATCATACACGTGTGAAACATTTACCTTCTTACTTTTCTTTCTTTTCTATATGGTATATAAGGGTAGAATGGTCATTTCATTCATGCCACTACATGAGAGAATGACTTAGCATGCTCACGTGGCATTTTTTGTGGGTCCAAGGACTATATTAACCCAAATGATTAATTTGGTGGACTTGTTTGGACGATTTAAAACATCAAGGACTAAACTGAGCCCAAAGTGGAAATTTAGGGACCGTATTGGCTATTCACCCTTTTTAAGGTAAACCTCAAAATAGGATAGGGAGCGCTTGCTTTTATTTAAGAAGAGACTTGGTCCAATTTTTGAAGGAAAACCGGTCAAAAAAAACCTCACAAATACACGTTAATTGGGGAAAATCGGCTAAAGGCCCACACGAGGAATAGAACAGGATGCATGCGGCGGCACAACTGAAGTTCAAGACACAAGTTAACATTGCTAACCTCAAAAGAGCAGCTCTGACTTCTTAAGAACAAACCACGAACTAGATGACCAAAACGACCAAGAAAACGTAGGGCAGGGTCTTCTAGACGAAGCCTCCAAGGAGGAAGAAAGCGTCCAAAACGCAAACAATGTCCATATGAGCATCAGAACAAGGTTTTCACCCGAATAAAAATTAGAGGAAAGTGACAATGCGTTCATGAAGAAAACGGCACCCATAGGTGTCGATGTCGTTAGCTCTAGTCAAAGACCAAGCAGAACTTTCACCCAGACTCTCGCTCCCTGCCAACCACAAAACCAAGGCCGTTACAGCACTGCCAAGATGAAAGTGGAAGAGGGTTGTCGTTGCCGAGTTTGCCATCCCTTGCAAACAGCTCCGACTCCATCCCAACACACCAACACACAATGACGTCAGGAGACCACCTGCACACAACACCTTAGACGCTTCCAAGATGAAAGATAAGGGTTATCATTACCGAGCTTGTCATACCTGGTCAAGTAGATCCGACTCCATCCGAACTCATCAACCAAAGGTTGTGCCACAGGAGCTTCATGCACCACCAACCTAAAAGACCACACACCTCGCTGCCACAAAGACTTTCAAAGCACAAACAGAGTTGACAACATCCTAATCTCTACCAAGCAGAACCCTCCAACAGAACCCGCGTCTCTCTCCTTATCATGGGGGCACCCCTTGACTGGAGTCTAGAAACAGACTAGTCAAAGAAGGGAAGGGGTTCCAAGGAACAGGAGAAGAGAACTTCAGCCGGTTATGGGGATCCCTTGCCGTCGACCAGGTCACTGACCACACATTTGTTCATCGTGTCCCGCAGCTTTCCAAACAAGCAAACTTGCAACAACGAACGATCGATCAGCCAAAGAACAGCCTCTCCATGTGGCAACTCCACCTACCGGCACCTACTACACCCCGCCGACCACCTCGCCAGCCTCCTCCTGCCAGTGCCAAATTGTGTGCCTTGCCTCTTGCACCTCCTAAACCGGCGGGCCTGTGTCTGCTTCTCCACTTCTTCTGGCCACCTACACATTGCCTGCCAAGGCTCTATTTCCACCTCCGTTAGCCCTGCACTCGTTGGCCAACTCTACCTCGAGCAGCACCTCTCCACCTCATCAATCCCCCTTTATTTCCACCTCTACCGTGCCCCAACTCGCCGGTCAACTATAACTCCACCTCCCCCGTCCTTACAACTCCTCCACTGCCAGCCCTACAACTCCACCTCCACCAGCTCTACCACTCCTCCTCCACCGGCCACCCCCATCGCTTGCTCACCGGCCACCTCCATCTAGGACAGGGGTGGCCAGATCTGGGCTAGGGGGCCGATTTGGCCGTCACCCCTTCCAACTTTGACCGATAACACCCTCACGCCGCCTTGCCTTGCCTTGCCGATGGCGCATTCCGTCGTCGCCTCCACCCTGCAGTTGTCGCCGAATCATCTCGCTGCTAGATCGCTGCGGTCGCCACCACGCGTCGGCTCCTTCTCCCCCATGCAGATCTAGGCCCGCCGCTACGGCCGTCTGCCTCGCCGCCGTCATCCTTGCTTGCCCCACCGAAGCCCGGCCGCTTGCTCTGGGGACGGAAGGGGGAGAAGGTGGCGGCATTACGGTTTCTCTTTTTCGCTTGGGTCGCTCATGCGGGGAGGCGATGCTGGGGTCTTCACTATCTCCAGATTAAGATTTATCTAGGTACACAAATAGATAGCCAAAAGATGAGAAACTCTGTCTTTTCATTCTCATCAGGCGTCAGT